AACCGAAAGCACTGTATCGAACGGTTCAATATCGATACGAGTATCGTTGCACCCCTAATTATTATATAGCAACAGTTGCCTCAAGGTGATTTATATTGTAAGGTAAAGGACCTACAATACTGTTCCCCACAGGAGATCAGGAGGAGGTGGTCAGGGAGGTCTGTGGCAGAAGGTGAATGGATGAAATCTACGTAAATGCAGTAATTTAAGTACATGTAGGTCCTCAACCATTCCCCCAGCAGGTGCTGCAGCAATTTGAGCATCTAAATTCCAACAGCCTTGGAAACGTTTAATGTTTTTTGTTTTTTCCAGTATCCATAACCTAATTCCATAAGTCTTTTGACTATTCTATAGAGCCAATTTTGTTTTTTGGGGGGCAGGTTTTAAATGTATGTATTCATATTAAAGAAACCCTGCAGGAGCTCCTACATGTGTGCACAAGCATCCCTCTTTATTTTCTTTTTGTCGTACATGTGAACAGGATGGCTGGAACTACACCCACTTTGTCACCCCCGTCTCCACTCTGGAGCGGGACCGATACCGCTCTCAGCCGACCCTACCCACCAGCCCAATGCAGATGTCCCCCGTCATTCAATCAGGTGTGAGAGACATCAAACCGATGATCATATTTCAGTAATAGATTGTTGGGGGGGGGAGACACAGGATTTGGTTTAAATCATATCACTGTTTTATTTTTCTGGTTGGCTTTGTTTTCAGGCGGTAGTGCAACATCCTCGCCAGCGATGCTCGGGATAAGAAGACACAGTTCAAACTATCAGAGGGCCCAGTCATCTATGCAACTCGACACATATTATGGAGACAACAGTTTACACAAACGGCAGTACACAGGTTTGTGGCATCCCTCAGGGATCTGTACACGTGCCGCTGGTGTTTGGAGTTATATTTATTTTACTCTCTACTTGTGAATTTTTCACCTCAGGGTCAGAGAAGAAAACCCCATATTTCATTGGGACCTATTCCTCCCAGTCAGGAGAGGATCTGAGAAGATCCCAGGTAAGAAGCCTTTTGTTGTTACATCATACAGCAATGTCATGCTCAATCATCCAGGTAAGGATGTTTTCTCAGTTTGGTTGATTTTATATAGACTGACCGATTACATTGTTTTCCAAGCACCCAGAGCCATTCTACGACGAACCCGACAGGAAGAACTTCAACAGCTACAGAATGTACCTGTCGTCCCCACAAGGCTACGGCGAGGAGCACTTTGAGGACGAACCGGCCCACCTGACCCCGTCGTCTCCCGATGGCTACGCCACCCAGTCGCTCCGATTCAAAGCCAACACCAACTATGTGGACTTCTACTCCACCACACGGAGGCCTTCAAACAGGGCGAACAAGTTCACCGGCTCCCCCGACTCGTGGGTGTAGAAAGAAAACAGACGCCATGGACATCAAGTCTTCACCACGTTGGCTGTCCGTTCCTGTGGGTGTATGTGTGCGGGGAGTGCGTTGTGTGGCTGCGTGAAAGGTTGCGGATGCATGTGGATATGTATGTGTGTGTCTGTACTGAAACTGTGCTGAATGACCAGGGCTTGGTTTGCCACGTGCAGCTTTTGACTAAGACCGCACGATAATAATACCCGAAAAAAAATTATCCCTTTATTTTTGACTCCGAAGCTAAAAACAAACCACACAAACACAAAAAAGTCAAAGTTTTATCAGAGGTTTATTGCATAACATAAAGAAGCAGTGCTGTATGAAATTGTTTGCTAGTTTTATGAGCTTCAGGCTGCAAAACTAGAATATTCTGAAATATTTCCACCATGTTGTTTGGCCGTTGCGTACAACTTATAATTCCCACACACTTGGCTAGAGGCATGAACAGTCTAAAAGATGGACGTAGCCACCGTTACCTTACCCACCCCCCTCAGTGAAGTTCCTTCGAGCTGAGTGTCTTCCGGCTAAATGTGACAAACGAGGAGTGGATCTAACGCACCCACTCCCATACCTTGCTTTATCAGCCTTTCATCCTTTTTGACACTAACAGGGACCACAATTTGCAAAATAAACACTATGCTGTATTCAGTAACACTTGAAAGTAGCGACTGAGACCATGAACTCAAATGTTTACTGAGGTTGCATAGACTTCTACAATCTACAGTAAGAGCCAGAAATCCTTAGAGAAGAGTTTGTATGCTTTAAATCCCAGAAAGATTAAATCAGATTAAACTGGGAACTCCCCAGTTATCCAGGACTATCTCATAGAACCCCTATCAAACTGTAAGTCCACAGAGTGGCAGTTCTTGTGTATATTTAAGACAATTCTCTGATATAGCTATGACCTTACTGAGACTCGGTGTGTTAACCATGATGTTAAATTCTGGAAATCATCGCCAAGAGTGAACAACCATCAAGGATCAAAAGTAAGTCTTGTTGCTTTGATTATACTAAATTGGATTCTTTCTAAGGAAGATTTTGCATTTTATTTGATAGGGTTTTTTTTGTAAACAAGGATCAGGATGTGAAACAAATTGTCTTGGGCTTTGCCATTTCTGCCAGAAGCTAAGTCTACAGACTAGCTAATGGGTTCCCAAGGCTTAGTCAAAAGGTGCTTTTTACACACAAAAAAAGAAAAAAACTTAGCCCTAACATTGTTGTTTACTCGAGTGTTTGTTCACGTCAACTGATTTCATTTTTCTCTGCAGTAAAAGTGTGCAGTGTGTTGGCTTTATAACATAAATATCGTCCGCCAGCATCATCTTGAATGCAAGAGAAAAAGAAACTTGCTGAAGCTGAGGATCACACCTGGGACAAATTCTATTTACCAGTTAAATAAAACCACTACTCCAAACAACATAAAAGCTGCTCTAAATATTATTTGACCTGGGTTTGGAGATGAACATCCTCACTCTCATGAACCTTTAAAGACTCAGAGAACCGGGGTTAAACCTGTAACCCTCTGCTTTTCTGTAATGTTGGCCAAAAGTGCAGTATATCATAAAGTATGTGAAATATGTGGAAAAACAAAAGTGAAAATCTATTTGTACAGATAAAAATGGTTTAACTGTCCTGTTACATTGTTGTATTCAATATGTAGAACTTTCTTATGTGATTGTGAGGAAGATTTTTGTATTATTTATCGATTATTTTTATTAATTTAATTGTGACCTGACCAAAATACCCAATCTGTCTGTTCTGTCTAAAACTGATAATGATGATGTGTTACAGAGGGAAATAATATGTATAGGGATTAAAGATTATATCACGATGAGACACCTGGAAGTTGCGGTTTTCTTCTAATTTTGAAATGCACACAAAAAAAAGCAAGTTAAATAGATATTTCTTTATTAGATTTAATTGCATCAGTTGTAAGATATATTTGGATACACGATGCTACAGCTAAAACAAACAAAATGTACAACATGAGGTAAATGTACAGAAACTGCCCTCCCTGAGCATGCCTTTAACACAACAAGCTCTAGTCCATGCAGTTACATTCAGTTATTCGTCGTCTGTGCTTGTTGCTGTCCTGCAACTAAGCCATTACGAAATTGTAACATTCTACAGCAACATCCACAGAAACAAAAGCAACTAGCCCGAAAGTCACGTTGCACAACTAAGACCCAGTCCTACCAGAGTCATCAGCCTTATGTTCAAAGGGTAGCAGTCAAGTGTGATGACCAGTCGAAGGGCAGCACTCATCCAGCCCAATGACTGGTCGAATGGTGGCGGTCATCAAGCTCGATGACTGCCACTGGTCAAGAAGCTAATTAAAGGGCAGGGGTCGTCATTAGAAGCGTAGCAGTCATCAAGCTAGATTGTAGGGTATCGTCCTCGAGCTTGATGACTGCTACTCTTTGATACCTAAAAGAAACTAAAATGGTAGACTATAACCAAAGAACAACTGTAATTGGGCCTTTTACACTGAGACAATAATGTATATAAAAATATGTTAAACAGGCACCATAAAGGAAAGCAGCACAAACGTCTAATGTACCACTAAAGGGTCAAGAGGCCTCATTAAATTACAGTCTTGACGTTAAAAAAAGAAAGTTACAAAGTCACAAGTCAATGTAGAGAAATGTGTTAATTTCTATAGCTGGAGTGCTGTTTAGATGATTTGAGTTTTCTAAAGGGAAAAACTTATCCAGCTTATCCACTGAGATTTTAATTACTTTGGCCTGAGGGGAAAACCCTTTATTCTGCCTTCAAATCTGTTTTTAAAGACTCTGACTGGCCAATCAGAAACTTTACAGATTGAGTGCAGACTATTACAACGATCCAGACACTGAAATTGTGTGGGGAGGAAAAATTTTAATCCACTTGAAACCAGAGTTATAAACCAGGCTCATAGTCCTAGGAGCAACTGATTGGCTGGTCAGTGTTCCTCAAGAGCTACAGCAGCGCAATTTAATTGTATGAGATCCCTCTTCGCAAAACGACAAAAAAAGAAAAAAAATTTTTTTGAAGCCCAGAGAATGTTTTCTAAAACCAAATCAAAGGGTTTCTTTTTATTGATTGTCACCTGTAATCAAACAAAAGTGTAAACACAAAAATTATAAAATCTGGAAGACAAGACACAAGCAAAGACCGTTGTGTGGAAGCATGTTTCTGCTGCCCAGCTCCAGCAACAACCTTCAACATCATCGAGGTTAGAAACTTAAAGGCCCTGCTTTGATACAAATCACATCCATAAAAGTAAGCATGAAGCTACACCCTGCAGGCAGTTAGCTTAGGTTAAAATGGTGAAACAGCCATTTTTATTTTAAGTTCTGTTTCCAGAAATAAATATTCCACTCCTTTCCTCCATTGACGTTTCAGAAAAGAGTTTTAAGCCTTGAACCAACCAGCAACAAGATAAATCGTGACCATAAACGGATTTTATTTGATCTGCTAAATAAATAAATAAAGGAAAAAAAGCTAAGGTCCGGGACTCATTCACCCATTCACTGTGTCTAAGTGCTTTGAACCTAGCGGTCTCCCTCATGGATGCACTGGGGGCCACTCAGTGTTCTGTTTCTTGCCCAAAGACACTTTAACATGAACACAAGACAAGCCGGGAGTTAAACCACTGACCTTCCAATTAGTAGATAATCCACTGCTGTGTACATAATAACTTTTAACAGTGAAAGAACTACTCATCCAACAATACAATCAAATCCCAGATTCCATAGCAACCGACTTCCAGCCTTCTAGAATTTAGTGTTTGTAGTTTGTATTGTGCGTGTGTAGTCAAGTTCCAAGTTCCAAGGTCAATGTCATTCAACAGCAACTTGTAAAGCGCTTTGAGGGCCCCGAAAAGCGCTACATAAATGCAATCCATTATTATTATTATTATTATTATTATTATTATTAACTTCCACCAATCAGAGATGCCGCTGTTTCAGTTAAGGATTGCGGGAAGAGTAGTTCTTCTCCGTTATATTATAAATAATACATTAATGTTTTATGTCACATACCATCATTTTACAGTTTAGTAGCTTGTAGTGACTCTGTTTTTGGTGGGTACAATTTTCTGGTCCATAGTTAAAATACTTCTAAAAAATATGGATGAGATTTTCAATTCAGGATCTGTAAATAAGTTGTAGATGTTTTCCAAAATATGCAGGTAGCATGCGTGCTAGTGCTACCCAGCTAACAGCAGAAATCATCTTCAGGCATTGACGTAAATGAGCTGGGGTGTAATTTGCTGATTATGCGTTTTAAATTTTCTTCCTAGAGTTTGCAAAGAGTTGTAGTTAATGCACTTAGTGATTACACTGTCCATAAAGCGCACGGAGCAATTATCAACCTAATGGTCGCCATTTAGGCTACGGAGTGGGATGAGGCATTTATCCATAGTAAACTGTTGTCTTCGGTGTGACTGCCATTTTGGAGGGATGCTGCTGTAGCGTCAGCCACATAGGCCTAGAGACCAGTCAGCAACCACCCGGCAACCACTGGATCACTAGGGAAAAATGTGTATTTCCACCAACCTAATGACAAGTGGCTGTTTGCAAAGAGGTATATAGGGTACAGGACCAAAGACCTCTGTGATTGCCATTCCCTGGTCTTTATGCTAACCTAAGCTAACCGTCTGTTGGCTGTAGCTTCATATTGATCAAATACACTCGAGTGGTGTCACTTCATCATGACGACTGAGAAAAAAGGGAAAAAAAGCAAGTTGTTTCCTAAAACGTTAAACAATACTTATCTAAAAACTGACACATTTGCCTTCTCCTGTAAAGCTGCACAAACCTAAAACTTAAGCTTCATTTCTAATACAGAAGCGGATTCAGGGCCTCACTTATAAACATCGAGCTTTTAATCTGTTGCATAATAACGACAATCTAGCATCAGAAGATCCAGAAAACTAAACTTATAACAGCGAATGTGTTATAAACGAGGCCTCTGAGATCTACATTTAGCAAATTAAATATGTCTCATCAGTATTTACACAAGGTTTGGATGGTGCTTCTCCGAGCGGTGACAGTCTGTCGTGAAGGCCTCCCATTGGTGCTCCAAGAGGAGGGGCGTTGCTTGTGGATCCAGGTGGGGTGGTGAGCATGCATTGAGTTGTTTATGGTCGTCTGCAACAAGAGGCAAATCTCTGAGACTGTCTTACATCCAGTTTATGTGTAAGTGATATATTTGTTAACCGCCCCCTGGTGGTAGCCATGTGTAAGACAAGCAAAGGAAATTATTTCGTAAAATGGAAAACCGATTTTTGCACTTACAGGATTATGTTGCTGTTGTGGGTTCAGTTGTTATGAATATCAACACCTCCGGCTCTGATGGAGCTGCAGATCGGGGAGGACAGTGGATGATGTCCGGGCCGGATAGGCTTTGCTGAAAACACAAAAAAAAGGGAACATCTTGATCCATTGCCTGATTTATCTTTCTCCCAGGGATACACATTCAGGTCTGTTTTTTTATCCAGTGTTTTATTTTTTGTTTGTTTGTTTCAAGTTTAAACCAGCTCAGATATTTCCATTTTTCTGGTTGAAATATCAACTGGAAAAGCTACTCTCACAGGGATTGAATCCCTGGCTGCCCTTCCCTGAGTATAGTTCTCCCAGAAGTAACTTCCTGTTAAAATGGAGTTCTTCCCCACCTCAGTCACCAAATGTTGCTCACAGGGTATCATCTGTACTATGAAACAGGCTTAACATTGCAGTTTGACTTGGGCTGACTACAATCCCTCTCAGACAAATTGGAAAATTTTTCAAATATTTGAGTCAGATTGTGCTGATAAGCATCTATTTGCAATTGTGTTCTCAACACAAATGACTGTAATCTGTGTTTTAAAAGCACAGCAACAAGAGCATCAGTGTCCAGGCCACAGAAACAATCCTGCCAATCAGCATGTTTTCAGCAAAACCAATTTAAATTGCTACTCTTTAGCGTAAAGATGGTTATTTAAACGTATAGCAGTTATCTAGAAACACTATCACTCATTCGGAAATGTATTTGTGTCCAGGTTCAGCTACGTTGCTGGTGGCAGGTTTAACCCCAGTGTGAACCGGTCTTCTTTGTCCGACAGCTGTCACATGAGCACATCTGTTTCAGTGAAATAATAAATGGAAGTAAAACCTCACCGATCTGTGCAGAGTATCCCCTCCTGGCCATGTTCTTGGCCCGCACAGCCTCTTTGATGCGGTCCACCTCCTGCTGGTAGCGCTTACGGTCCCTCATGGCGTTCTCCTTGGCCTCCTTCAAGGCGTTCTCCAGCGCTTTGACTCGCTCGGCCGTGGCTCGCAGACGCTTCTCCAGCTTGGGCAGTTCGCAGCGAAGGTCTGCGTTGTCCCGGACCAGCTGAGGGCGGCGGCGGGATGAAGTTACTGAGCATTATTTTATCGCACTGTATCTCACAGCGTTCAGCATTTCTGTTTTATAAGAATTTTACAGATTCAGCCTCTGTATAGCAGTCGTACCTGTTTGTGGACCTTAGTCAGCTGCTCCAAATTGTTCTCCAAGAATGAGATTTTCTGTTTCTGTGCAATGTTGCTGAGTCCCTCCTCACAGTCAAGCTCTGCACTCTTATAATAGAGGAAAATTACACCAAACTACATTCAACGACCAGTCGTATGTGTCAACAGTAAAAAGATCTACCTTCTTAACCCGTGCAGTGAGGTCCTGGACGAAGAGTTTGCGCAGGTTGTGCAGAGTTTGCAGCTCTTTGGCCTGAGTGAACAAGAAGGGAGTGAAAGCTGGAAGTCAGACCCACATAATAGTTCTGGGATTTACATTCTGCCAAAAGGTTCTTCCTTTTTAAAGTGAGTTCTTCCTCCCCACTGTCGCCAAGTATTTGCTCATAGGGAATCATCAGACTGTTGTTTTTTTCCTTTTAATTCAGTTCAGTTGAATTAATTTGTATGTAAATACTGTTAAATTAAATTGAACTGAATTAAAGATGTCATCAGGTTTATTCTACCATTGGCCAAACCTAGGTTGAAACCTGAAAAAGCCACGGTCATGTGAAGTGGGTGCTTTGAACGGCACTTCAGATCAGTGCTTCGTAAGCTCGACACAGCGTTGAAACAGCATCCAGCTTCCCATCCCAACTCAGGGTATTCAATTAAATTCTGTTCCATTTATACAGCATCAAATCACAGCCGTTTGAGGCTCGATCACTGAAACTCCCCTTTTTATCTAAATGTAAGAAAAAGAAGTGCACGTTTAAGAAATCTGTCCGCACGACTCTTTGGGATGAAGTTGTGAACAGCTGGATCAATGAGATGCACTATACTAACAACATTTCTTTAATCCTCCAACTTTTCTCCATTCTCATTAAATATATTACAAAGCACTGTTTTTGAGTAAGCCTGCATTGGTGCAGACTTCCAGCAATTTCTTTGCTTTGCTATGTGACTAAACAGACATCTAAGGTTAGAACAGCTGTGACTTCAAAGGAGAGAGTGGTTATGGGGCCATCACTGAGTCTCACCACAGTCTCCTCCAGACCCTTCAGGTCCTCTCGGGCCTGCTCCCTTTGTTCATTCAGCAGCCTGTACAGAAAACAGAGCAATAATCAAACCATGTGACACTTTTATTGTCTCAAATTAGCTCTAAGATGCTTGTGTTCACCTACACGAGCCTCTCCAGCTTTGCATTCTTCTCCTGCTCCTCCGCCTGCAGTTTGTAGTAATCCGACATGAGTCGCTCCTGCTCCAGTAACAGCCCCTGATTTAGACTGAGAGGGAGAAACTGTTTTAATAAATACGCTCTCTAGTTTCAGAAAATGTGGTTTGGAATCGAAGCATGTTTAGTTGGAGGCTCTAAAGTTGCAGGTTGAGGCCTTGAAAGTCACTTTCTAGTCATGTTAGCTCTTCTTTTGAAGCAGAAGCCGACTTTGAGCCCAGATCTTTGATCGCTTTCAGGCAGCAGCTCCTCGCTCGCACTTGTTCTCTGAGCTGCTTCTTCTCCTCAGTAGTCCCCCTTTGAAGACAACCTGAGTGGAAATCCCTACTCCGAGGGCTGAGGGGAATGTTAAAATGGGTATATGTGTGTATCTGCTTGTGGCCTGAGCTCGTCTGAAAAAATCAGGATTTGTGAAGAACGGTTTCAAATCTTTAAAACCTGAGCACATCTGTGGGTTTCCCTGTGATATCTCTGCCCTAATCTCACATCGTCTCCCCCCCTGCTGTGCTGTTACATCCTCAGAGTTGGTTTGTGTGCGTCAGTGTGTGCGTTTCCTGATGTTTTCTCACTCTCTGAGCTCGTCCAGCATCCTCTGTTTGTCTTCGATCTCATCTCGCAGGCGGCTGAGCTGCTTCTGATGAGCCTCCCTGTGGTTCTCCAGCTGCTCCTCCAGCGTTTTCTGAAGAGATAAAAACACATTAGAGCTGAGGTTGGCAACATTATTCCCTCAGAGGACACTGAACAGAAACATGACGCATTAAAATAACCCTACGATAATCCCAAATACATGATCCAAAATACAAGAGCTTCCTGTTAGAAGCTGCTCGTTTTTTTTTTTGGGTCAGTCTGGAGTACTTAAATACTGGATAAACCTATGACATGGACTGTGTTAGACTGTATTAGGTCTAACACTTTAAATCAGGCTACTTGGAAGGGTCTCAGCTACTAGTTAGCTAGTTAACAGTAACTAGTTGTTAACTACTAGTTACTACTGCCTTCAATCTGACCTGGAACATGAACAAATATGAACAAATGTCTTGAATCAACCCTCATGTCTTTACGCTTTACTTCCAAGCCGCCAGATTTTCTTTTTTTTCAATTGTTTTTGAGCGATAGTTCTATTTTGTAAAAATCAAAATCAATTTTGTGCTGTAATTTTTACCTTGATGTCATCGTCTCCGCCCGCTCTGCCGATGTCCTCCTTCTCCTTTTCCTCGTGCATTTTCTCTAAAGACAAAATAATTGTGCTGTGTCAGAAACTGCAGGCAAAGACCAAATTTACTCACAAAGCTAAACTCTCAAACTTCAAACTGTGAGATACTTTACTGAAAGACAATTTAAATCAAGTCTGATGAAACAGACAAAAGACTTCCCACCGGGGGTCAAACCATAGACTCACAGACTCAAACACAACCAAAGACAAACCCTCACCTTCATAGCGTAGTTACTCAGCCCACCCTTTTTGTGAAATTCATCTTAATCGTAAAAAAAAAACAACCTCTGATGTGCTGAAGACTATTTCACATCCATTGCCTGGATATGTCATAAGGTGACTGTCTTCTTCCACAAAAGCAAAAAGCAAAGGTGGGCATCAAGAAAGTGTAATGATTCTTGGAACGCATGAACACAGTGCACACATAATACACATGTGAAATTTGACTAATGTGGATGCAGGGGTTAAAGAGGACCTCAAAGGTTCAGAATGGCAGATTAATGCACATTACTGGCAATTATTTCTTACGTGCTGCAGACTGACTGCATGGACACATTTGCTCAGTAATAATAAAATAATCAAATCCCACGGCCCACTTATACCTTCATGTGATGCGTTCATGGTGCAGATGCAAATAAAGTCGTAGTTGTGATACTTCAGTGTCTAGCTAGTGATAGAGCGGCAGACAATAATAATCATTATCATAATTATTATTATTATTATTATTAAGTAATTATTTTCACCACACAGCACTGATGCACTTGATCATAAGGTCCCCCCGCCTGCCTGATCCCACTTTAGCCCCTGTGGTGATACTCAGACATAATATACTGGCCACTTGTGCTCAGAGCACCCTGCATGTTGTAAGATACAGTGTCGTCAAGTCCTAATCTATGTGATATTCCAGTGATGGATAAAGTTCAGTGAGAGTTCAAATTAAAGACCTTCCAGTGCTTTCTTTGTGTGTAACTGAGGTATAAAGAAAACCTAAAAAACACACTGATTAAATAATGGTTATTGAATGAGTAACAACTAAAAGGTTAAAGTGGTGTCTCATACTTTAGGAACATCTTTTTCTTTGTTGTTTTGAGCTTTTCTTTTTTTCGGGGTGAGATGACATGTCAGCTGTGCTCAAACTGCCTAACTGTATAAATGAGTCTGTGGAGGTTTCTAGGACCGACCTTGAGCGTGCAGTTTGGCGAGCTCTTCGGTGAGAGCGTCCTGACTCTCCTCCAGCTGCCTTTTCTTCTGCTCCATGTTCTGCATGTAGTCGGTCAGAGACTTTATCTTGGCCTGATGCTGCAGGGACAGCAACACGTGACTGACACTCTACCAAACTCCAGGAGAACTCTGTTAGCGTGACGACGTCAGGTGACGCTTACCTGGGAGATGAGCAGCTGACAGGACGCCAGCTCCTTCTCGTTCGCCTGGATCTTGCGGTGGGCGTCGGCCTGGGCGCTCTCCAGCTGCTTGCTGCGGTTGACCAAAGACTTGACCTCGGACTTCATCTTGCTGATGTAGAGGCGAGCAACGGTAAACTCCTCCTCCAGCGCCGAGCCGTTCCCCTTCATCTCTGAGCACTGAGAGGGAAGGAGGACGGGCCGGGTTAAAGGGTCATGTGTCTGTTTCGGGTAAGGTTGGTAAGGTTTTTGTTATGTGGACGTGGGTGCTCACTGCAGCCGTCTTGACTTCGCTGGTGCCGATGATGGCGCCGATGTCACTGAGGTCTCTCAGCAGAAGGTTGAGGACCTCGGCAGCACGCTTTCTCTGCAGGCCGTTTAGCTCCTGCAGCTGACTCACCTCCCTCTCAAGCACCGACAGCAGCGCCTGAGGACGCCGCCGCAAAGACAGCCTGTCAGCATGCCTCTGCATCGCTGCACTTCATGTGTAATCTAGTAGGATTCAGGAAAGTCACAACCCACCGTCTTGTGCTGCAGCTTCTCGGTCAGCTGCGCGTTGGCTTGGTTTCGCTCCTCCACCTCTTGGCTCTTCTGGTCGTAGTTAACTGCCAGCTCCTCCAGGGCCTGAAGCACCTCCTTCACCTCCTCCTTGGCTAGCTCGTTCTCCGTCTGCAGCCGGCACAGCTCCTCCTGGATCTTGTCATAGTCGCGTCGTGTTGACGCCAGCAGCTGCACAGATTTAAAAAAAAAAAACACGTGTCAGAGGAAATACGCAGGCATGCTCTATCATTACTATTAACCTGAGCTTGGAGACAAACCTCTTCTTGATCCATCATCTGCTCCTTGAGTTTCTCCGCCAGCTGACTGTGTTGGTTAATTTCGTCATCCTGTCAGCGGCAATAAAATATAGAGTTTCAGGAATTGTTTCAATAACGAGGGCAGTATGTGTACATGTAATCCCTGTGAGCCTAAAGCTCAGGCTTCAGACTGATCGAACACTCTTGGCTCTGTGGTTCATCATATAGGTATAAATCAGCCCTATGTCACATATATGGTGAACCACCTGCCATTCAAATCTATTTTTATGAGAGGCAGCCAATCAGAAGAAAGGGGGAGGAGCTAGAACACTTCCAGACAGAAGATGAATAAAACCCATCCTGAGACAGCTGTATGTGACATGTTTACAATAAACCAGCTTCAGCCTCGTCCTGTTGCTCACCTTGTCATCCAGCTGTTTGTACAGGTTCCTTACGTCCTCCTCGTACTTCCTCCTCTCGTCACCGGAGACGGAGACAACTCCTCCGGCTGGCAGCAGGTTGTCGATGATGGGAGTGTTGTCGTACGGCTCGCCGCTCCTCTGATCTTTAGAGCTCTGCTGCTCCTCCTCAGGAACGTTCTCGCCTGTGATAGGAACTCACTTGTTAGATATTCTACTCATGCATCCATTATATACACACATGTTAGTGTGACGACGTTTTAAACACTCTGATCGTGCCATATGTTGTGGTATGGTGTCACATCGAGTAGCACCATAGTTGTTACATCATGCCTCAGTGCGTCGCATCATATAATCTTAATTTTGTGGAAGAATTTTTAAATCACGATAAAAGTGTAAATACTGTAATAAGTGCAATAACTAAGCCTCAGTTTACGCATTTGAAGTAACAAACCAGATGTTGATGCTCAAGCAGGCTTCATAAATGAAGTGGGAAGAAGGGTTCACCTCTCTGAAAAGAACACGGCAGCATAGCTTAGGGTCTGCAAAGATGCATCTGAACAAACCACAAATTCTTTTGTACATTAGAGACTAAAGTGTTTTACTGTAATGCACAAAACCAAATTAATCATCTGCAACGCGCGTGTAGGGTAGTAAATCCTGGCAGCAGTCCTTTAACATAAAAGGAACAATTGTTGCCTTGCAGTCAATATAACACCAGGATACTGTAGTTTATCAAAGTAAATTAGAGAAGTTATTATCAGATAACTAAAATAAACCTGATGTATTTCCTGAAACATCAGGTTTGGGGGCTGGCTATGTTTGTAAGTCAGCACACAACTTACTATTATTATTACTATTTTTACAATTCTGATGATTTTCCTTCAGGAGAAAACCTGAACAGTTATACTGCACTGAGTGAAATCATGCTGACTGCACCAGTGTTTGTGTGATTATTGATTTTCTAACTGTGGGTTTGGTGATAAAAGCCAGCAGCTAATGAGGAGATGGAGCCGAGGACAGACTGAAGGAGGCGGAGAGCTGCTTTCTTTTAAACGGCAGGGCAGGAAGCCAGCGGCTGACTCAAACAACAAACACTGTATCAACATGATGTGTGTGTATGTGTGTGTGAGAGCGCTGCATTTACATGTCAGGAGCTTTGGATGCTGCAGCTGAGCTGATTTGATGCTAAGGAGGGGGAGTGTTATCAGCATCCACAGGGGAATTAAACATAAAAAAGCAACAATGGCCACAGAAAGAAAGGGGGAGGAGGGGGGGTGAAGGCAGGGAGGTATTAAAGCAAAGAAAGGACTGAAAGGAGGAGGAGGAGTGGTTACTATGCAACAGAAATGGGGGGAAAAAAGGGCGAGGATGCTGTGAAGGAGACCCTGCAGTCTCAGCAGAGAGGGAGGAAGCGTGGTGGGGAAACACACACGGGCAGCGTGGCGTCCTTCATGGTGGGGTTACACAGTATCTACAACATTCGGGCAGGACAAGGCGTGAGCCAATCAGACCCCACGCATTATCACAGCGGCTGATTAATCTGAGCAGTAATTACATGTGATTTCCAGACGTCACAGACTGAGCATGTGCACACACAGCTACCTAAAAGAGCCTGTGAGGTTAATGAAACTCGAGTTTCTCAGGCTGCCGCCCACTTTTTTTTTTTTTATTTCAGCTTGTTGGCATGCAAGGAGAAAAAAACATTTTGTGTGTGTGTGTCACAGAGAGCATCTGACTCTCAAAGGTCAAAGTCTCCTAAAAACAAAGTAGCAGCTACTAGTACACACCACTACTGCACTATTTAATCATCAGCAATTTATTTTAATCTCTGCCAGCTTTAATAGGGTTTTTCCTTCTCACTGTCACCAAATGCTTACTCACAGGGTGGGTGTCGTCTGACTGCTGAGGTTTTCTCTGTATTATTTTAAGGTCTTTATCTTACAGAATAGATTGTAAAGCACCTTAAGGGAACTGTTGTTGTGATTTGGCGCTGTATAAATAAAACTCATTTTAAATGAACGTTCAAACGGTTTTAGAAAAAAGAGAAGGCGAGTTTTACTGGAATATTCGGCGTATCACTGCAAAGCATTCACAAAGTCTGAACACAGAAAAATCAGCAACTCCTAGATTTTACTATGTGCATTTCACAGTTTGAGCTAGAGCGGAAATTTAAATGGTTCGTGTAAGATGAGAATTATTTTGTAATTTTACAGCCAAATATGACAAAATAAGTAGAGACAGTCTGTAAGATACTCGGGTGATAAAGTGTCAAAGCTTTTCAACTTTTTGAAGCAGATGATGCTCCAGATTGGAGAGCAACAGCTCCTTCAGACCAATCCAATCTCAGGAAAATAGTGTCACCACTCCTCAGGTCCTTCAGACCTCGGTGCACAGAGAAATAACCCGACGAGCGGTGAACGAGTAGCCACGCTCTGCTAGGTATTCACATGTTAAGATGGAAGGAAAGGAGGCTGCTGCTGATGATCCACTCTGATTGCTTTCTGTGTTGTGAGTCATTAGAAACATCCATCCATTTTCCTCCATTTATCCAGAGTCAGGTCACAGATTACGCAGGTCTTTCCAGACGTCCTTTCCTCATCAACACCAGATGAAATATTTAATAACTCCAGTGACTTCTGGGTCTATCGAGGGTCTCTTCCCAGGTGGTACATCTCCACCAGTTGGATGGGGTGCTCTGATATCCCCTTATTGTGGTTGTTTCTCATGTTGAGGCGTCTCAAATAGAACGCGTTGAGCACTTTTTTCCTGCCTAGTGTAAGTTCAGCCTTCAATTTTAAAGTCTGCCCAAAGTCCTTACAGGTCTGGGTAAACCAATCTATCAGGCTTTGGAGGTCCCACTGTGATACGAAATCATGGCACCTAAAGGATAGTTCAGGAGCGTAGGGAAGGAGATGCCGAACAGCGTCAGCACGAGAACGTAACCTTGCTGGATCTCCAACACTAAGGAGGCGAGGCAGAGGAGCTTCTTCTTCCGTTCTCCGTACCTCCTCTGGAGTTCTTGAAGGGTCGGCGTGCCCAGAAGAACTCCAAAGAGAGGCGTCGAGGAGGCCACCAAACTACCTCTGGAGAGTCCAGCTTGTACCCACAACCCTGTTCTTTTAGTCACTACCCAGAGCTCATGGCCATCGGTGAGGGCTGGACCGTGGATCACTCGCCTGCTAAATCAAAAACTCTTTCTCAGCTCTGTCTTCACCACGACTGTCCATCCCACCCTTCGTCCACCTTCCCATCACACGTTCACAAAGCAGTTGCTTTAAAACTACGGCCTCTTTATTAGCTTCCTTGGTAAACATCTCAGGCTGAGGTCTGTTAATCAGGACATCTGATGTGTAACTCTGTAAGTCCCACCAAGCAGCAACTGTGCAACAGAAGGTGGGTTCCCTTTGAAATATCATTTATTTAAAGGTATAGAAATGAGTGCACAGGAAGCAGAAAGGCAGCACGTTAACTATTCAGAACTTACAGTGGAGCTGTACGATACAACAACGATGTATGGTTGTCACAAAAACCCAACATCCCACAGCGTAACCACCGATCAACACTCAGGAGCTCACAGCAGCTGTTTCCTTTAATCAGCCCTTGCAGGCCGCTTTAATCTCACCGTTTCTCCAGCGGTTGAGTTCGGCCTCCAGCCTCTGGATGATGCTCTTCAGGTTCTTGTTCTTCTCCTTCTCCTTCTCGTATTTCTTCTTCCACTCCTCGGCCGTCAGCTCCAGGTTCACAGACACTGTGTTCTTGATGGTCTTCGCTCTGAGCGGACACAGACAGTAAGCATTAGTCTTTTAATTAATCTCATCGTGCCTGATTGTTAGACTTCTTCTCTGGACTCTATTGACAGTTTGTTCCAGCTCATTGAGTTAATATAGTAATCAAATCAAAATACTGAGCTGAACTTTAAGTGTGGTTCATCTTACAGTAATGGACAGGGGTTAGATTGGGATTATAGGCATCAAATTCCACCTTTATGTTCCACATTCATGTAACATCTATTTAAAGTGTGTTTGATTCAGCAGGTTAAATCAAAGAAAACTAATAATCTGGTGACTTATTTGTGATTATTCCTGCTGCGCAGCTACACAGGATCTCAGTCTTCCCCTGCCCACCAAATGTCAAGTTAGCCCCTGATTACAATGATTAAAAGCAACATTTTCAGGTTTATTTTCCACTACTTAGTTTCTACTTCTTTAAAAATCATCTGCTGAAAACAAGAGCTTACAAAAAAACCCACACATGCAGGAATTTGATCATCTGACCATGCAAGTTTGCAACATTCAGCATGATCAGATGAAAGTAGTCGGAGCATCCAAGAATTTACGCCTTTTTTCCCTTTTCCCTGCAGGTAAGCATGTTTTTGCTGTCTTAGTGGAAATAAAGCAACACATTTTACAGCTGTTTCTGAGTGTGTTTTCTACCTTTCCACCTAATACAGTCACTTCCACATGCTACATGTGTGAGTCTGCTTTCTCCCAGAGGACCTCCGCCCCTCTCGATCTTTCCTCTCACGATGGAAATCTCCTAATTAATTGAATTTCCTCTTAGCCGAGGGCAGATGGTTGCTACAGTAATCAGCCTCTGTGACACTGCTCAGTCTGAACTCACTGATCAAGGCTCAGTGGATTTCAGCTTGATTTTTAAAATAAATGATTACATCGCTGCGGTCGAGGATCTTTACAGATGCGTCACTTTTATGAAACTGTAACATCTAAAGAAGTGAAGCAGATGAATGAAATGTGCTTCAGAATGAAGTGTGAGGAAAAAAAACTGTAGAAAATAGAAAATGTTCATTATTCTCAGTTTTACATGACGTGAAAACAAGAAGGCGGCAGTGTCGGAGTCTATAAATAAGAATAAACCCAGATGCACAGCGGGAATCTCAGAGCCATCTGTTTGCTAGTTTGCACCAAATGAGTCACCGTGTACCTTTGCAGATGGACTGGATACACTGATACTCTCCCACAAACACAAACAGCAACTCTGACTTTAGACTAATGTCTGATTTTCCTGATTAGCTTTTTCTTTTGTAATTGTTAAGTTTAAGTTAAGTAAGTTTTTCGTTTGCAGAAGTGCAAAAAATTCGTCTTGTAGCCATTTGAGGATCCAGTTTCCTGCTTCATAACAGCTGTATGTGAGGAAATGTTTATATAACCTGAGTCAGACTTTCTTGTCATTTTTAAGGTGGTCTCGAGCAACAGTTCTCCAGGCTTTCTGAACGTCTTTGGCTGCTTTTTTAACTCATTTTCAGGCTACGTCCACACATACCCGGGTATTTTTGAAAACGCAGATTTTTCTATGCGTTTGCACCTTTCGTCCACACGTAAACAGCGTTGTTGGTCACTGAAAACTGAACTCCTGCCAGGGTTGATATTTTCGAAAACTCAGTTTTTGCATTTAGGTGTGGACGAGGAAAACGGAGAAAACGCAACGTCAAAGGTGTGCGCCTTTTCTGACGTCACACTGTGCGCCACGTTATTGTTTCGGTGAAATGGATTTCTACAATGGCGGACTTAGACAAAATACTGTTACTGTTAATTGTACTCTCTGCAGTGTTTACATGCTTACATATACACACACAGTTACTGTCCCTCCACACATACAACTCGGTTCTGCTTCTATGCGCCATCTTTGTTTACTCTTTCCCACCCAGGCTTCTAGACTTCTGATTGGCCAACATTTCTACACAGTTAGGAATATATCGCCACCTGTTGCTTTGGCATGTTCCTAGCAGCGTTTTCCTTCGTTTTTGCGTTTACATGTGGACGGGATTTTTTTTTTTTAAACGAAAACGGAAAATCTCCGTTATCAAAAATACCCGTGTACGTGTGGACGTAGCCTCAGTCTAATCATAATTTGCTCCAATTTCTTTGGTTGAATCTGTGAAAAATACCAAAGATAACACAGTCTGACAGACATAAACTAGTATTTTTGGACCAACAAGGTGATTCCCAGAGAGCTATTAGCTAAAAACTTGACATATATGAGCAGTGTGTGCAGTGTGGCCTTAAAAAAATTGAGGAAACTGGACAAAAGAAGAAGTGGGACAAAAAGACTCTGAAAGCATGTGGCGGATGTGGTTCCACTGCACAGGAGTAGTGGTGCAGTGGGTTCGGGGAGCAGTACCAGGGAAGGGGCAGGGTAGTTGGAGGTCTTTGATGAACATAGCTATGAAGGAGGAAACCGTTTTTGTATCTTTTTTTTTGTGTTTCTCTTCCTCTGTTAAAAATATGAGGTGGTTGTGGTTACTTCAGATGAAACTGTATATGGTGGTACGTAAAATCTTAGCTGTTTAAAGGATGAAAGACTCCTTTTTAAAATTTCTGGGTTTTTTATGTATTTTGTGGGTTAATTATGGAAAAAATGGAAAAAAGAAAGTAAAAAACACTGCCCTGTGTTTGGCACTGAGTACATTAGACAGAAGAGCTCGCAGATACCTCTGTCCAAACATGAGCGTGGACTTGGTCTCGGCCTCGTTGTAGATGGACGGTGAGCAGCAGATGATGATGGTGGTGCGACAGTTCCCTCCCAGAGAGTCCTGCAGGATCCGAGTCATCTTACTGTCTCTGTACGGCACGTGGGTTTTCTGAAGAAAAGAAAATACAGCTGTGCTGAGGTTTTCTAATATTTCATACTTCTTCACTTACATAAGAAACAGAACTGGGATGGACTTACGGTGCCCTCAGCCAGAGCTGAGATGACGTTTCCCAGCGCTGAGAGAGATTTGTTGATGTTCTTTGCCTCGTCCAGCACCGCCCCCTCAGCTCCCGTCTTGCTCACCTGACCAAACAGCGATCGAGCAGGTTATCCATCAGCTTTACAGCTCAGGAAAGTCTC